CAGTTACCAGGCGCATTAACAAGTATGGGGTGGTTGTCAGCGCTACAGTGATGACAGGACTCGGGGTCAGCATCTCTGTGGCTCCCTATGCCTTTTCCTCCTCTTAGTATTCCTGGCGGCTGGAGTTAAAAGCACCACATCTGTAGACAATTCTGTTTTAACAGGGAATAAAAAGAGAGGGAAAGTATGGGAGGCCAAGAAAGTTCTCCTTCAATCAGAAAAGAAATATTCCTACGCTTATTGTTCTGAACTGTCACGTGATAGGTAAAGCTGGGAACGAAAATATGTGACAGGAGGAAATCAGACTGCCGTAATTGGCTTGGACAAGTCCTGACTCATCTCTTAGGACTGTACACTGCTGGCCTACACAGTCTGGACTCTGCTAGAAAGAAATGCGGCTGGCTGGCTACTGGTTAGACAACCTGATTACTCTTGTAACTACGGCAGGATCTGTGGGTGGTGTGGAAAAGGTGAACTCAGAATTACTCATCTGCTGTCACTTTGCTGCGCTTTACCATAATTTCGTCTCCTGCATTCCTGCCTGGAAAGGGCAGGATCAACCACAGAGTCACCTTTGGGTTTCCCTGGCAGGTGTGAAATGAGAATTTGTTTTTCCAACAAAATAAGAGTATTGGGGTAGAAGAGAGCTTATTTGACAGAAAATTGCTTTAGAGATCTCTTTCAGTAACTTTTCCCCCCCATTAATTTAACTAACACATGGCACTAATGTCTTTCTTTATATTTTTTCTCTAGCTACCTCTTAAAAACAAAAGCCATAGTAAATGCATCTCAGATGGATATTCACAATGTGCCCCTAACAGAAACGATTGCAGAGGTAAAGTTTCCTGATGATTGTGTAGTTCTTTTAATATAGACTATTCTTAATAGTTTGTGCCAGTGCTTCTGTAAAAACTTACCTATTTGAGAATCAGTAGTCAACAATTATTCTAAAGTATGAAGACTAAATTATTGGAAACAGAAGAGCTAAATTGGAAATACTGAGAATGCTGACAATGTGAAGAATGTTACTAATATTACTGAACAATATGTGTAGAAATTGTTGATTGGGAGCTTGTACACTTTCACCATGAAAGCAATAAAACATATATATGTTTATAATTGAACCATTGGTCTTATGTCATCTGGAAATGTTCTTTCCTTTTAAAATGACAGTGAAAAAACCAATAGGAGCAAAGCTTTATGGGAGTAAAGAAATTACACCAGGGAGCTCAAATTCATAGGAGGAAATTAAGAAAGCCAGACAAAATAAATAAGGCTAATATATTAAAAGCTATAAATATTACTTGTGCTTTTTTAGCTTCTTTTAAAGACATAAATATATATCACTGCAACTACTAAGGAAGTATCATTAAGGAAATTAAAGACATTAAAATGTTATAGTAGAAAATATTTACAGTACTGAAAAATAAAACAAAAAAAGCTCACTGCCATCAAGTAGACACTGACTATAGCAACTCTGTAGGACTGGGTAGAATTGCCCCTGAGAAACTATATGAAATAATAGTTTTGTTT